CAGCTGCAGCCCGCGTGCGTGTGTGTCTGGTCTTGCCGTGTGCGTGTCTGTGTCTGGTCCTGCTGGGGGCGTGTTTGCAGGTGAAGCCCGTGTGCATGTGTCTGTGACTGGCCCTGCTGGGTGGTGTGTTTGCAGCTGCGGCCCACGTGCGTGTGTGTGTCTGTGTCTGGTCCTGCTGGGGGCGTGTGCACAGGTGTTCTCAGGTGTGCTCCTGCTGGCGGTGTGTGTACAGGCGTGTCCACCTCTGCAGGTCCTCACGTGCATGCTTACCGAGCAGCGGATGGTGTTCTTTTCCTCCGACTGGGCCCTGCTGACGCTTGTGGCGGAGTGCTTCCTGGTCTACCTGCACCCTCTGCAGTGGCAGCACACCTTCGTGCCCATCCTGTCGGGCCAGATGCTGGACTTCGTCATGGCGCCCACCTCCTTCCTCATGGGCTGCCACCTGGACCACTTTGAAGAAGTCAGCAAGGTTAGGTATTGTCACCTAGGGCTGCTGTCACAGAAATACCACACGGGGGTGGCTTTTGTGCATGGAAATTTATTTTCTCACAGGGTTGGAAGGGTCTGGAAGCCCGACCTCAGACCGCCAGCTCCAGGGTAGGCTATCTCTGGGAAGAGACTGCTGGGTGGTCGCCTGCCCTTGGTTCCTTGTGATCTCTGCGTGGCATCTGCCGTCCCCCATCTTAGCTTACTTAACTTGCTCCTTTCATGATCTGTAAGAGATCGATTCACTAGACACCCCACACTAACCCTGCCTTATGAACATAGCAAAGACAACCCATTCCCCAGTGGGATTCTAACCACAGGCACAGATTTTGGGAGGGACACAGTACAGTTCATCACGAGTATAGAACCCTGGATCTGGAATCTCCTCCTCTTGTAAATGCATCACTAGGATGAACGTGGGGTTGACTTTGAAAGCGCACTGAAGCGAGGTCAGTAGGGACATCACAGTTAGGCCCATTCCCAGCTCTTGCTGAGCATGGCTCTGGGCTGCGCACACACACACATGCACACACCACGTACTGCCTCATTTCATGTTCACGCCATCCCCTGCCGACCTCGGGGTGTGCTCGGGCTGTAGTGTGCCCAGGGGCAGAGTCTCGATCCCTTCTCAATCCATCCTCAATCCATCCAAGTCATGGAAGTGGGTTGTTCTGGTTCCCTAGTACCACTGTGACAGGAATATACCACAAATGGGATGGCCTTAACAAACAGGAGTTTATTCTCTTACCGTTTGGAGGCTTTAAGTCTAACGGAGTTCAAAGTGCCAGGCTCTAGGGCTGGGTGAAAGCCCCTCAGCCTTGGGGTCCAGCTCTGCCTCCTGCTCCCAGCCCACTGGAGCTAGAGGCATTTCTTCACTCAGACAGCTGCTGGCTGCTGTGGCTGAGAAGCCCCAAGGTTGACAAGTAAAAAGGCACAGTCCTGATGTTACCAAACCACATGGCAGGCCATTAACTTAAGTCCATTATAAGCCCCAAGGTCGGCAGAGCATAGCAGGCTGCTGAGCAACGACATGGCTACCTGCAGGGTCCAAGCGTGCCACAGGCTAGAGACCATTCTCCAAGGCTTCTGTTTATATACCGGAAGCAGACCACATTCCCTAAGGCAGCTAATAGGCTGCCCCCAGTAGATTCCACCATGGAGGTGATTAGCAGTCTCATCATGGGGAATACTACATCCAGCTGCCAAGCCACTCAACCAGGCCCAGCCAAGTTGACACACAAATTGAACTACCACATTTCCACCCCTTGCCAACTTGGCATCTGTACAGATCTTCATTGGGTGGCATCTGTACAGATCTCTCTCACTGGGTGGCTCCAGTCCCCTAGTTCCTGAGTGGTGACCTCACCCCTTGGCCTGGCGGGCCCCGTTCCTCTCCCTCTTGGACATGGAAGCCCCACTCCCTCACTCTTGGGCAGCGGCTGTGGCTGCATCCCACTAGCTCACATGAACGAGCAGCCCCACACTCCAGAACCAAGTTGGTGAAGGCCTGGCTCTGAAACCTAGGGGGCTGTGGCGGTTCTACCCCCAAAGGCCATGGTCCTACCCTTTCAGGCTGAGGCAGCTCTGCTTCCGTTTCCTTGGTCTCCCTGTCTGCTTGCAGGGGTGAGGAAATGAGGCCACATGCTGAAATTAAGGCGTGTTCCCTTTTCAGTCATTGGGGAGAAGGCATCTTGTCACACCCTCTTCAGGAAATCTTTTGGGTGTTTTCTTGCTTGCCTGCCACAGTCAGCCGTCATGACAGAAGCCCTGTCACGACTGATTGGTTCTGGAAGGTGTCAGGTGCAGAAGCCACTCAGCCGAGACGTCTGGGTCTCTCGGTGCTTTGTGTCACTGCTGGAGGGTCTGAGGAGCTCAGCTGTGGGGGGCTCTCGGTGCCCCCAGGGGGGCTGGTTGGGTGTTCTTGGAGAAGGCAGCACTGTGTCCGGCCTGCTGGAGTCCGTGCTGTGCTTTCCTGTAAGTCTGGGAGGCCAAGAGCAGCGCTGGCGTCAGGGATGCTGCAGGTGCCACATGGGCCGCGTAGGATCGAGGCCCAGAATGAGCTCAGAAGTCGAGACCCTGAGAAAAATTCCAGTGCCCTGTTCCAGACACCGCAGGCCTGCAGACCGCACTGCATTCCTCATGTCTGTCTGTCACCGAGAAGACTTCATAAGTAACCGCATGCATAGTTCAGAAGCTGAGTGTGTGTACTTGCCGGCCCGGCCCTGCTTGGGTTCCTGGCACTGTGGCTGAGCCGCAGGGTGGGGCTGTCTGGGCAGCGAGGTGGCATGGGGCTGGCACTGTGTCTGAAGGCACAGGGAATTTTAGAATGTGCCCTGCCGGCTCCCCAGAGGGCAGTGTTTGTAGTGGGCCAGGAACACCTGACAACAAGTGTGAGAGTCTTAATTCAAGGAGAGAAGTGTGTTTAGCAATGTCTGGCCCACTGACGTAACTCACGGTACCCATTGCATTCTTTGTAGAGATAACAGAAGGCTGGAGGCCCTGGTGGTGCAAATGCCTACGCACTTGATGACTAGCTGAAAAGTTGGTGGTTTGCACCCACCCAGATGCCTCAGAAGAGGGGCCTGGCAGCCTGCTTCCAAAAGATCACAGCTTGTATGGCTATGTGTAGCTTCAATCAGTGTCACTGCTGTACTGTCTTAGTGAACGCAGAGTATGCATTCGTGTTGTCAAGGATCTGTACAAGTTTGGACAGTCTTACATCAGTCCTTAAAAAATGTGTTTTACAGGAAGCCGACGGTTTGATTCTGATAAATATTGACAGTGGAAGCATCACCTGCTCTAAGGCCTTGGGTGACGATGTGGACATTCCTGACATTCCTCTGCTTGCGGCCCAGATGTTCATTCAGAGGTAAGGGGGACACAGTGTGTTGGAAGCCTCGCCTTCCTGGATGGTTGAAAAATGGAAAATATAAATATGTAGTCCCCAAAGGTTATTGTGGTTCCCACGGTCTGGGGGAGCGGACAGGGGAAGCTTCCGTGTGCGGGGCATTGGGTTCATGCTGATGGTGGTGGGGTATTTGGGAAAAGGACAGCAGTAGTGGTGGCATGACATGGAAAATGCCATTGGTCCCTGGGCTGTAGAAGGGGGAGTCGGTGTGTTGGTGGATGCCTTGTTGTCTATGTTTTCACCCTCTGACTCTGCCTCCTTTTCCACTGTTGGTTGCTAGTTCTCATGTTTTATTTTATTGACAGACAGTTGACATGTGTGGAGTGTGGAAATTATCTCTGAGTGCTTTTTTCATTCCAATCTGGCCAGTAACTCTGACCCTACAGAGTCAGGTGATGCTCACAGTTCCCCGGGAGCTTCTGGAACACTCTTCAGTGCCCTGGTATCGTGTGCTGGCGATCTCTGAAGTTTCTTCTTGTTCCTTCACTCGTTATTTGTGTAGAATACCCACAGTGTGGCTGGCTGGGCTGGATATACATACGGATGAGAAACAGACGTGGCCCACCCCGTGGCACTTCCTCACGTGGTCCATCCCGTGGCATTCACATGTGCAGTTTAGAGGCCTCGGTCTTCCTGAGCAAGACGTCTTTTTTTTTTTTTTTTAGTTCTTCCAGTGCTCTATTCATCCTCTTATTTTTTTAATACCTTGTGTTTGTGGTTTTTTTCCCTCGATTTGACTCTATCTCGCTGGCCTAAATCAGATATCACCAAACTTTCTCAAAGAGCTAGACAGCACTTCTGGCTTAGCGGGCCCCATGGACTGTGTTGTGGTGGTGGAGGAGAGGTTGGGCAGGAGCTTAATCACACAGTGCCTTCTGGGAAGGGTAAAGGGTGGTAGTTCTAATTATGTCGGGACAGGGGTGAACTGGGAAGTCCGGGGCTTCCAGGCATGGCTCCCCAGGGCTCGTGCAGGACAGAGCTGACGTGGGCACCCCAGGACCAGCCTCCTCCGAGCTGTGTGTGGAGCCTACAGTTTTCCTTTGGAGTTTATTAAGTAGAGCAGGAGAGAGCCCGTGTGGGGTCTGACTGCAGTTGGCCACACCATCAAGTGACACATGGAGTGGTGTGTGGAGGGCTGGGAACACAGGGTGTCCCTGAGCTGCTCTGGGTGTTTTCTGTAAATACAGCCAGGCTGTGCTTGTTCCTGGTGGAGCCTTTGGCACAGCTGGCCTTTATTCCAGTGGTGACCTCTCCTGGACTTTGTCTGGCCGGTTTATTGGGAGCCAGTGTGGAAAGAGCTGAACCCTGGGAAGAATGCGGAGGGATGAGGCAGTGTTGGCTTTGGCCACTGTTCTGGGTGGAACTGTGTCTCTCCGAAAGGTGAGTGAGAGCCCTGGCTCCGTAACAGGCTCCTGGCAACTCCTGCTTACTAACAGAGACTTAGTACAACCCGTAGTCATGAGCTGACCTTTGTAAAGCCAGTCACATTAAAAATTCAAGGTGTGTTGCTGGCAAGTGTGTGGAGAGACTGGGTCTCTCATACACTGCTGGTG